GGGTAGGTTTAACCGGTTAGCGGTGAAACCGTTATTAAGATTACGGCGAGCGCGCATGACTAATGACATCCTCCTTTGCTTCCACCCAGCGTTACCTGATAAATTGCCTCCTCCTCCTCCTCCTCCTCCTCCTGTACCTCCGCCGCTAATTACTCGGGGCCTCGGAATTCCGCTTACGCGCGTTTCACGTCCCAGTTAAGTCGCGAGAAACCGTTCGAGAGATCGTGCGCGTCCCCGCGAAAGTGAAACGCCCCCAAGTACCATTTCCTACCCCTTAACAACGTTCCAACGTCTGAGCAACCTCCTAATCGTATAAAATATAAACAAAAAAAATAAAACTGTATAAATATAAATTTTATTTTAATATTAATTATGCAGCTCGAGCTTTTTAATTGAACCTTTCAGAACGAAGACGTAGTCTACCACTATTTATATGTTTCCTACTAATGCCTTGGAAGACACATAATTTCCTCGTTTAAGCCTCTCTCTCGCGGGACCCGTGAGTTTATCAGAAAATTTCTTAATATATATTCCCGCGGGCAAGTTGTAAAAGCCCGGGGGCCGTGTACACGTACGCAACCAGCCGAGCTACTCGTACAAGACTCTTGAACTTTCATCGCCTCTTTAGTCAAGAGAGAGGGACACATTAGAGTTGCGCAATTTATGGAACGCGACGCCCTTACGCCGCAGGCAAATATCAAACCACTCGACGATTGTTGGAAAAAGCTCTTAACTTACACCCAAGAAACTAAAAAAGATAAACAATTTTTCTCCCGTTTCAATAATACTATTTTTTTTTTATGATAAGGTAAAGGAGGTAGTACCTGGACACTTTTGAACATAAATTTTTTATAATGTACTTCTTAGGCTTGTATTTCCTCAATTCAGTAGTTCCATATAAAAAAATCATCTAATCTCTTGTATAATAATCTCACCTACCCTCGGGTATTATTCTCATAGTTTCGAACACCAGCAATGTTCTTCGCGTTGGTAGGATACGAAACGAGTAGGTTGAAATTTTTGTCACGCGGAAACGTCGAAAGCGAGGAAATCAGCGTACGCTGATGGAGGAAATGTGTCCCGACTTCTTAAGGTCCGCTATAATACGTGTGTGCGAACGCGCGCGTTCCGAAGCTCCAAGCCTGGCTGTCTTTTCTCGAGCGTTTTCTCAGCTTCCCACCCGGGAGCTACCTCGCAGTTAACGCGGCGCACGTCGCCGCCGCGTTAACCCGTTTCTGACCCACTTATCGGCTTTGAACTCGTTTCGAACGCGGAAACTTGCCACCGCTTCCTCGCCCGACGCTACTTCTCTCAACTCCACGCGCCTCTTTTAGGGACGCGTTTAATTTTTTCGGCGCGAGATGAACAGCAAGCGAAACAAGTTTCCCAGTTTCATCGTCTGACGAAAATAAACCTTTTCCACTGAAATCGAAGGGGAGGCAGGCGATGCTAGAAAAATCAGGCTGACGATTGACAAAACAATTTTATTAAAAAATTATAAAACCGTAGAAATATTTTAATAATTCCACAAGGTAAATAGTTAGAAAAAAGCTGAACGTTTAAGAAACCGAGAAAACGTGTAAAAGAAAACGGAATCGCGTTAAGAGCCGGGGGTAGATTTAACCGGTTAGCGGTGAAACCGTTATTAAGATTACGGCGAGCGCGCATGACTAATGACATCCTCCTTTGCTTCCACCCAGCGTTACCTGATAAATTGCCTCCTCCTCCTCCTCCTCCTCCTCCTGTACCTCCGCCGCTAATTACTCGGGGCCTCGGAATTCCGCTTACGCGCGTTTCACGTCCCAGTTAAGTCGCGAGAAACCGTTCGAGAGATCGTGCGCGTCCCCGCGAAAGTGAAACGCCCCCAAGTACCATTTCCTACCCCTTAACAACGTTCCAACGTCTGAGCAACCTCCTAATCGTATAAAATATAAACAAAAAAAATAAAACTGTATAAATATAAATTTTATTTTAGTATTAATTATGCAGCTCGAGCTTTTTAATTGAACCTTTCAGAACGAAGACGTAGTCTACCACTATTTATATGTTTCCTACTAATGCCTTGGAAGACACATAATTTCCTCGTTTAAGCCTCTCTCTCGCGGGACCCGTGAGTTTATCAGAAAATTTCTTAATATATATTCCCGCGGGCAAGTTGTAAAAGCCCGGGGGCCGTGTACACGTACGCAACCAGCCGAGCTACTCGTACAAGACTCTTGAACTTTCATCGCCTCTTTAGTCAAGAGAGAGGGACACATTAGAGTTGCGCAATTTATGGAACGCGACGCCCTTACGCCGCAGGCAAATATCAAACCACTCGACGATTGTTGGAAAAAGCTCTTAACTTACACCCAAGAAACTAAAAAAGATAAACAATTTTTCTCCTGTNCTTGGACAGTAAATTATTAAATACATATCTATTATGTCCAAGTACTAGTTCCAAAATTCGTTTTGTCCCAGTACTACTTCCTTTACCTTACTTCTTATTGATTCGTCTTGCAGAACAAAATTTCTGTCTGAAATTAATTAATTATTTTTCAATCGTCATTAGGAGAAGCTTTATGTGTGACTTTTTAAATGAGAATCGCGACTCTCAGGTAGCGTTATTGATTTGGACCGCGGGATGAAACGTGATAAACCTTGAAAAGCTCTGAAAAGGCGCCGTTTCTAATATATCTGTCGGAGCTTTTATTCAAGTGGGACCCCCGGCGGTCCCTTTAAAAGCTCGTCTTCGATACCATCGAGACTCTAATGGCGTCCGCTTTTTGTCGCGAGAGTACTCGAGGAAAGAAAAATAAACGAGCCCCAGATCGATGGCGAAACAGAAGGGAACAAAAAAAAGGTACAAGGGAAATGAATAAATTCGAGTCGACGCGTAGGTGGTGCTTGTAATTCCTCGAATGGCCGGTTATTAGTCAATCAATCGTCGACGTCCGACCGTTTTTTCGTCAAGAGTGAAATAAAAAAAGAAAAAAAGAAAGAAGAGAATTCGCTATCCGCGGAGTTTCTCTCTGAGTGTTTTTTTTCTCCACCGATTCCCATCCCTTCTATTTTGGAAATATTTCTAAAACGTGCCTCCCATTTCCCGCAAATCCGGCGAAAACAATTTTTCAGTACACCGTTTCTTTCGCCTCGGCAGAAACTCGGTTTCCGATTGTTTCATTTTACTTTCGACGTTGGTTGAATGTTTCTTTCTAACATGCATGGAAAAATCGTGCGATTTTCCACGGGAAAGGTGAACACATTCGAAAATACTTTGCCGCATGAACTATTCAAGCGGTTCGACGGAAATCGATGATCAGAGCTTCGACCGGGATGAATAATACAACCCTTAATCGTTACCCCCTGATAAGAAGCGACGGAGAGAGACGCATCGCGTTATCGTTACTCGCCACGTGACTGAGTCCCGTGGAAATGTCAGGCTATAACATAATGGATCCCCTCCCGTCCCCCGTATCGATCACCGGGCTTCACGTGATGCACACACGTGACGATAAAACTGGGGAAACGACAAAATAAAATGTACCTGCGTGAAGAAATAGTAGTAGACTTTCATCCCGCGATCTGCGAACAGTTGCACGAAGTGGATCGACGGGCAGATGAAGAAATAATCGCCCACTACGTCTGCTACCATCTTCTGATACGTGTAACCGTTGTACTGATCCTCCCAGTCAGTATACTGAAACAAAAAACCAATCGCCTCGGTCAGAGTAATTTTTTTAGTTGATTTTCAATGATATTGCAAATC